GGGGGGGAGAGGCAAAGAAAAAGTCAAATAAAACAGTGACAGTGCCAAAGAAACTGCATACTATTCAGATGCCCATACTCAGAGAAAGCAGAATGCTGTCAACATTTGGGAATTACTGATGTCCCCAAACTTCATGATAGCCTATTTTAGGTAGGATCCTGGAAACAAGTTTACTCAAAAGACCCTGGAGACCCCCACTTAATCTGATATGCTTGAGTTAGCCTGTTTCTCTAAGCATAAGAACTAGGGCAAAAAGTATATATTTAGTCAAGCGTTGCAAACTAGGACATGTAGTCAACTGCCTTTATTATTGTGCTGATGAAGATGATCAGTCAGAAAGATTGGACGTTTACTTTCTTCCTATCATACGAAGAACATGTATACTGTCCATAACAGTATCCTTAATAAATGATCTTGTTTTGCCTCCTTGCCTATATAGGGAGAGAGGCAGGGAAAGAGAGAGAGATCCTTAATTTCACAACTCCTCCCACAGCAGATATAAGCCCTGTAAGGCAAAGGCAGGCCTCTCAGGCTGCAGCTATCATGTCTCTCCACTACCCCTTCCCCCACAAAAAAGGGACAGGGGAGAGAAGAATCTGGTATGAGCAACTGGTGATGTGAAGAAGTAACTGTTTTAGTGCCTTTTTTATATATATATATAAAATTCTGCACCCAAATATCCCAGCCTTTTGCTGTGCAGCTATTACAAGCATCCCATCAATGGAACAACGAGGCTGAAAGGACTCCTGCCTCTAAACTCCTTCTCCTTTAGGCTCACTTCATAAACCAATCCCTTTGGACTTTAGCAGATGAGGGATGAGCAGCCTTTTTCAGCCTGGGGTGGAGGGTGGGCGTAACTCAGCCATTGTGCTCTGACTGAAGACTCACCGAGGGCATGGCTTGCGATGTTATAGCATCATCTGGGCAGCAAAGCTAAAATTCAGGGACTTTTTGTTCTTACTTTTTTGAAGATTTTGAGATGGCTTTAAGGGGCCAAATGTGTGATACCAACCAATCCAATTTGGGCATGGGAGGTGGGGAAATTTAAGAAATACAATTACTGCCTTAATTTTTTACAAGATTTAAGATATCCATTACAAGCCCCCACCCCCAACAAAGCAGGTTTCAAACATTTTAGCCGTGCCCACTCCAAGGGAAATCTGGAGTCACAAATGGGGTGGTGCCTATCCCAGTCTGCTAGCTTATCTCCTCTCACTATTGGCTGCTGGAACCCTTCTGTATTTCATACTCACAATTTTCTGAACCGCAGCTCGAATCAAGTTCACCTGATTCACATATGCAGCTAATACATCAAGGTACTGAGAAAAAGTGGGTACTGCTGTTTGATCACTAAATGAAAGGAAAAAAGGTGAGTTTCTAATAGTTTAATAAAGTTGCATTGGAGATGGATATCGTGACAGCAGTGTATAAATGCTGAATTCCCATTTAATGTTTTTTGTCAGGCTTAAAATGCTTATTCTTTGCAAAAAAGAAAAAAGTATAATGCAAACAATTTGCACCTTGAAGCCTAATAATCATCATATAAACTATTCCAGTAGGCTTTCTTCAGTTTCATTTTTCTCCATAACCTGCATACTTTTTGAACACATCTATCATGTCCAAGTTTAACTCTTTTCCAAACTAAAAATCCTCCAAAACTGTAACCTTTCCCTTACAGAAAAATTGCTCCAGTTCCTCAATAACATCAGTTGCTTTATTCATGCACCTTTTCCAAAACTACAATACCTACCAATTCTTCCAGAAATGTACATATTATTTCATGTGTAGTACAGATATGGAAAAATATATCTCAGACTCTAAGAGGTGAAATCTGCCTATATCCACAGCAACCAAACGTGTTGATTCAACAAGCAATCCAGAAGAATTCCAAGGCTGTCTCCTGACTAATTACCATTAATTCAGATCCCAGAAAGGGCATGTGACATTAGGATTTTTATCTCCTGCCATAAAAGACGTCACTTTATACTTCCTTCATTGAAGGATGTGGCATTTGGAATTCTTTGTGATTGTTTTTTTGTTTGTTTTAACCACCCTAAATAATTTGGTGGGGTGAGCAAATTTAATTACCTCACTGCTAACTCTGTCTTCCATAATATTTATCATGAAGCTCCTCAACTTCTAACTTGAAACAGTATTTCAATAAAAATTCATTACTGCCATTCACACCTATAATTGAAAATTCAAACTATTACTTACCCAATATTTCTGCAAAGGAGCAAGTGAGCTATTTTAAGAAGAACTAAAAGAAAATATGTGTACAGTTATACTCATTGTTAATTACTATTAGTTGGTATGACTGGAAAAATAAATGTAAAAACTGTTAACAGGGAATCCCACAATGACCTTCCCCTACTTTAATCCATCAAAGCATTAAGAGCTTTGGAAGGGCTCTGGGTGTTTGGAAGAACTACAGGTTTTGCTGGAGACAGATGGAGGTGACAAGTATTTGTCCATTCAGTCACTCAGACTTGAGCTTGTCTTGATGGCACCCAACTAACTAGCACTTGAAGTATTGCTGCATTTGCCCAATCACAAAAGCTAAAGTTGCAAGACTATTTAACTGGTTCCTTAGTTAAGAATTTACAACCATTCCCAAAAGGACTGAAATGTGTACTCTTGCAGGAGACACAAATATTACTGTTTGATTAGCTTTAAAAAAAAAAACCCAGTAATGAAGGGGAGAGAATTATACAGGTAGTCCTTGCTTAACAACCATTTGTTCAGCAACCATTCAAAGTTATGATGCTGCTGAATGAATGGTAGTTATGACTGGTCCTCAAAGTTACAGCTGTTGCAGTGCCCCTTTGGACATGCAATCAAAATTTGGGCACTTAGCAGTCCACCCACATTTATGATCACAGTATGTGCTTCAACTCCCCCCACCTGCCTATATTCCACCCCCCATCTCTGCCCCACCTCTGTCAGCAGTGGGAGGAAGAAGGCAGCAAAGGTCAGTGGGGGGGCGCGGGGATAGGCAGCAGTGGCAGAATGCAGGGCGGCCGAAAGGGCAGAGATGGGGAGGAGATAGGCGAGGGGGGAGTTGAAATGGAGGTGAGTGAGACAGAGCAGAAGTGTGAGGTCCTTGCCTAACGACCGCAACCGGGACTACTGGGACTGCCATTGCTAAGTGGTGCAGTCACATGATGCTTAGCCTAATGACTGCTTCACTTAGTGATGGAAATTCTAGTCCCAATTACGGTCATTAAGCGAGGACTACCTGTAAACGGAAATCTGGAGATTTCCAGTGGGGATTCACTTTTTGGAGGGAAACCATACAAATATTTTAAAAATGTCTTAAATGAACTTCACTAGCAACAAATGAAATTTTCAGATTTTAAATAATACTCATGAGCTGTGAAGGTCAGGATCCAGACATCCTTCCCATATCAATTTACATGTTAACATAGCCATACATCCTATGTAAAGGCAAAACTGCAAATTGAAAGTTCTGACTGTGCTGAAGTTTTCCTTTCTACAGCAGAAAATAGGACAGAAGCTACTTGGTTGTGTCTGAACAAGTAGACAGCATAGCTCAGTCCAACTCATCAGCTGGACAAGTATCATTAATTTGAGCCTAAAGCAGGAATTAATAACTTTGTTTCTAAAAGAGTATTTCATTACACATTACAAGATATTTAAAACTGTTATACTAGATGTCACCACTGAGCAGATTTGAAATTATCTTCAATGGATCTATCAGAGTTTCCCAAAGAATGATTGATATCAGATTTTGTAGAACTACAAGACCCAGCAGACCCAGCCAACACAGCTAATGATGCAGAAGACTGTAGTTCAGTAAAATCTCCTGGCACCCTTTAATTGGGATTCTGGTACAATTCACCGGAATGCCTAATGTGGATCTCTGCACTGAACAGGGGATTGTACTCAGTGCCTTAAATGGTCCTGTCCAATCCTGTTCTACAACCTGCAAAGCCACCAGTTTTCCATCCCTTGAACAGTCCATATATAGAATGTGACAGCCTAAAAAAATAAATACTTTAGGTTCTTAAAGGTACATCACATACCTGATCCACAGAGGAATGCATCATAGGCTGCCTCATGAGGACACTTATTTGTAGCTGAAAAATTTCAAATGCACAGAAAAGGTAAAGCTTCCCAGATAATCTACTGAAGCTTTATTACATGAACAGTCTGAAGTTTTCTTTTTAACTTTTTTATTACTATTTTCATCCTACTTTTAAAAATCACAAATGACATTAGTCTATACAAGGATTTCATTACAACCTAAAATTAGGATCCAAGATCACATCCTCCCTTAGCAGTCTGGTTTGGTACTTAGTAATTGGACCAGGGAGAACTCCTTGAGAAAGCAGGTAATATTTCAGACCTCCAGAGGAAGTAATGGCAGACTGAAGATGGCTTCATGAAAAGCAGGGCCAACAACTGTGGCAGAATGAAGAGTCGTCAAGTAGACCAGCTCTTCAAAACCTCTCCAGACAAGGAGAGGACTTGAGATCGCCCACAAGTGCTCCAGACAGCTGCTCCTCACAAGGAGACCACAAGGCAGCCATCTCCAGCGGGTTTAGAGCTCTGGGATATTGCTCAAACCACGATTGGCACCTTTGAAAGAACACAAGGTTTACACACTTCCTTGTCTAATCACTTTCAGAAATTGCTTATTAACTGCTTTTCAGCTATTAGAAACCTTTGGATCGACAAGTTTGATTGCACCAGGTGAGTTTCCTTCAATCCTTAGCAAAAGAAAATTTTATCTACAAGTTTAAGAACTTATTTTTTTTTTTGAATAAATAGCAAAAGGGTGATTAAAACTTTGATTTTAGAAAGTTACAAATGGAGTAAGGGTCCAGATAAACTTGAAATAAGATTTTGGAATTAATTATAAATAATCTTTCTGGTGGAAAAATACTTTTATTTTGAATTAAAAAAAAACATAATATAAGATTTTAAAAACTGGACACTAGAGGGAACTAAAGATTACAATTAAAGGAGAAGAATACTTAAACTCGACTTACAATTACAGAATGAAGCAAAATATTCTAACATGGGACATACTGAAGGATATTTTTGAAAAATGGACTCAGAAATTAACATTAATAATGTCAACAGAGACATCTGCCTCATGGAGAGACTATGTCTAAAAGATGTTATGGAAGAGGAACAAGTTTTACCTGTCATGATCGAGAGACTGAGTTGAAAGTGGATTTACAAATGACAGGCTACAAAAATGATATGGAAAAAGTTGTCAGACTGGACATACAAAAGAAACTGGCTGATGTTTTAATAATTAAACAGGATATACTTACAATAAACCAAGAGAGTTACTTGGATAATTTTCCTACATTGGATTTACAAAAGAGGCTTTTTAAAATTTTGGAGAATCTCATGAGAAGGGACAAAGAAAAAAATGAAAAAAACTCAAGTTCTATGACATTATTTGAATGGACTAAAGTTTAAGATTGTTAGAAGTAAAGGAAGGAATATAAAGTTGGTTTATTTGATCAAAGTGAAAATAGATATGTTGTTATTTCTGGTAACCCTTAATGGACTTTTGCTGACACCAGGACTGAAATGACTATGCTCTATAGGTGTTTATAGATAAGAGATGGGAAGAAAAGATCATTTGTTGTATTTTAAGAGAAAGGAAGGAATATAAAGTTGGTTTATTTGATCAAAGTGAAAATAGATATGTTGTTATTTCTGGTAACCCTTAATGGACTTTTGCTGACACCAGGACTGAAATGACTATGCTCTATAGGTGTTTATAGATAAGAGATGGGAAGAAAAGATCATTTGTTGTATTTTAAGAGGAGGTGATAAGTTACTAAAATTGTTTATACTTGTTGCAATGAAGGTGAGAAGCCACTTCTTTATATATTTCTTTTCTTTTTCTTTACTATATTTTACTTTTTTTCTTTTTTTCTTTTTTTCTTTCTTTTCTGCACCTTCTACTCTTTATTCTTCTGCCTTTTTTTAGTTTGTATTAGTTTTTACTGTTGAAATTATAATCTTTAATAAAATTACTATAAAGAGAGAAAGCAGGTAATATTCCCACTCTACTAAGTTAACCTTGCTTCTATACATCTATTCCAGTCCTTTGTAAGCTGCCAAGAACAGATAAGAAATAAGACAGCAACAGAACAAGTAACCCTGTAAAGGCCAGGAGTGTAGGCTAGCTGACACTCCCTTTCACAGCAAACCTGAGTGTATCCTGCAGTGAAGCCAAGGAACAGTGTGCCAGCTCTCAAATTTATGCAGATTATTGTGATATTTTCTTCTAGCTTATGAAAAGTATCCACTAACTCTTTAGGACTTTAAACTGAGCAAAGGATATCCTTTAGACTTACCAATGATAATGGTTACATGACAAGAGTTTCATTCCATAACCAGACGTACCGTATCTGAGGCAATCCTTTGAGTGAAAGATCTCTGGACAATGCTGGTCTGTTGGACTCAGAACACTGTTAAGAAGCAGAAATCATTTTTTTTTTTTTAGTTCCTGCGCGTTTTTTTCTGTGACAGTACTAATAAACCTCATTGTCTGGCCCTCCATGAAAAGATTGGGCTGACTTTTTCTATAAACTGAAGCAAGGGAAGGCAAGTTGAATGAGTGAAATTATAGTACATATGTATTCATTCTGCTAATGTATTATTGTAGGGGTGGGATCAGGCCCAAAGGTCCCCCCCCCCAAACTTCCAGGGGTTGGGACAAACCACTCTCTCCTACCAAAATTTCTGCTGCTGCAATAGCAAATTTCTTTTCTTTGCATGGGGAGGGGGTGCATCCCTTCCCTCCCTCTCTCCTCCTCCACATCCATTCATATGGCTCCTTCGAAGCAGAGAAATCGAGTGGGACTAGAGTTTCTAGGATAGACCTCCAGAGATCAGATGTAAAGACCTCATACCACTACTTTATTCTCTCCTGTAACTTCTCAACCACACCAGTTATGCAAACTTCCTATTGTCATAAAGCATCCATGTGTCAGTCCTACAAGGTAGACCAGAACAAGAAACAGATGCTACTGTATATAGGCCTAAAACTAATTTTGTTAAGATTGACTACAGTAACAGAATCTTGCAAATCTGAATGTGCTTTCCCTTCTCCCTCTTTTATCTATTGTGGAATTTGGTGTGGGGGGGGGTGCCTTGCCATGGTAACAGATCTTTGCTTTTTCCAGCAAAGTCATCTTCTTTATTCTCTACAGTATGGCAGATTTATGACCACAACATCAACAAATTCTAGAGATGGATTGACATGGGCTGCCTTAATCTGCTGCTTGAGAGGACTACTTCACTTAGAATGATAAGATGCTTGGGCAAAGCGTTGGTTGTTTTCAAATATCAAGCTCAGCCAAGTGCCATCCAGCCACATCTAAGTGACCGAAACATTGAGGATAGAGTCCTAAAATAAAACACCATTTGACTCCTGGGAGCTTTCACTGGAATAACCATTCAGTGAAATGAAATGGTTATTAAGATTACTAATCATATATTTAGTGATAAAACCAGGAGAGAGTTCAAGAAAGAGGCATGTGGCTGACCTGCACAGCATTTCATACACCTCCAAAAGATTAGAAACTTGAGGAAATTGAAATTCCTGTGTTGAAGGAAAAAAGAAACAAAAAGCTTTCAGGTGCCATGGATATGAATCAGTTGGCAAGTCATAAAAGAGAGAGGGAGAATATGGAAAGCCAGACAGAGGGTGTGAGCCCCACTCTTCCTGAATTTTCTTATAACACTGACTGTCCTCTGGGTCTTCCCCTCTCACCTTTATTCTCCTGTGAGGAAAATGAGATTACTACCCATTTTACTATCAAATTTTCTACAAACACAAGGCCCTTGAATGAGCTTGGAATTTACATGCACCAGAACTAATCAAGGGCACTTATTTAACATATTTTTATACTGGTTCCTCTGAAAATGCATCTCATCTTCATCAACTACCCCTCCCAAAAATTGGAAGAAATAGGATCCTATGCTGAAATTCAAGAAAGGACAGCTCTACTCCTGTTCCTGCAATTAGGGTAAGTATTAACCATGATTTTAGCAGCATGTACAGCTAAGATCAGTGTGTGGAACTTACAAAGCCGCCCTCAAACTGGGACATCAGTGCTGTCACCTCTGAGCAGAGCCAATTATTACCTGCTTCCAATTCATTTTTTTTTCCTTTTTTGGTTCAAAAAGAAAAGTTTCTATTTGCTCATCCCTACAGTACACAAGTTTTAATAAATGCAGTACCCAAGTTCCCCAGGAACCTATCAACACTTTCCCACAGTTTCTGAAGCACTGGGTTCATAAGCCTGGGATTCCTGACTGAATGGACAAGGACCTGGCAAGTCTCCTCATCCATCACTGCTGCTGAATTCTGTGATCACTGCTCCTCTAAGAAGAAATGTTGAACAATGAAAAAGAAACAAAATGGAATAGGAAGTTCTTGATCTTTATAAAAACGGGAAATGTCTGTATGCTCATTTATCTGAATAAATTTAAATATTTAATTTGAAAGAAAATCTAACATCTTATATTATCAAGTGTCAGAACTTGATCTATTTAGTCCAGTAGTCCAGAACCGTTCACTTTTCACAGGCAATGGCTTGCTATTGTCTCATGCAAATATTTTTTTTTCAGCTTCTAACTGAGATCCTTCAGCTATTTAATCTGGGACATTAAGCATGCTTTTAAAAATTTGGAGAACTGAATTACAGGCCCTCACTTTGAGAGAAAGAGAGAACTGCAGATGAAAACAAGCTGGAACATTTTTAACTGTGGTAGAGAATGAAAATTACCTTCCACGTGGCTTTGGCAATGTTCTTTGTATCCATAAGAACAGGAAACAGGAAGTGGATGTTATTTTTAAATTCCTCATAGTTTTCTGAAAATTGAAAGTTATTCTGAAAATAAGTTGAAGATGGGAAAAGGAGGGAGAAAAAAAAAGGCTTGCTTGTTAATTTATTAAGCTAGTGCTATTTGCAAGAAACCAAAACTGTATCAGTTCTTCTCTAGCAGCAAAGATCAAGAGCAATTACTTAGAGCTGAAAGAGGGAGATGACAGGCCCTGTATGATTGGTATCTGAAAAGACATTACCAGGAAGGGGTTTGTAGAATTTCTCATGTAGATGCAGAAGATCCATCAGCATATTATGTCCCACCAGTGGCTACAGAGAGGGGGAATAAAAAACAAAACAAAACTCTGTAAGGTTGTCAGTACATCACCGTGGTTCTCCACTGGTTCTTTAAAAACACTAAATGCAATTTGCTTGCAAATTACTAGGGCTATGCAATGCAGAGGGCAATCTTCCAAACCTAGGAACAGACTGATTGATTATGTGTGATCAAATTGGTGTCAATTTTTAGAATTGTTTTTCTAAAAGCAAAAAAGCATTAATTTGAGTGCAATGGGATACATATTGTAGGCAAGCCTCTCTCTGCCTTGGAATATCCAAGACATCCCATGTAAAATCCTGCTGGGTGCAAGAAGCTTCTAGTTTAGGTTTCCTTCTGCCAGCAGTTTTGGCTATGGAATATGCCAAAATTTCAAATCAAGTAGGCTCCCATCTTAAGCCTTACAGAGCTATATAATTATATATTGGGAAACACATCCAAATCAACTCCATCACAGCTTGATAGATCTACCAGTACGCTAGATACATATTTGGAGCCCATATATCCTTATTATGAATGAAGTTTAAGGCATAAGAATTCTGCCTCCCCTATACCAGTCAATTAGGGAAAAAAGCATTTACAGGTAGTCCTCGCTTACCAACTGCCTTGTGCCGAGACTATTTGAAGTTACGACTGTGCTAAAAAAATAACTTTGCGACCAATCCTTGCATTTACAATTGTCGCAGCATCCCATGGTCACGTGATCGCCATTTGGGCCCTTCGCAATTGGTGCACATTTATGACTGTCATTGCATCCCTCAATCAAGTGACTGCCATTCACATGTGTGTATTTTCACTTGCAACAAGCACAGTTAATACAGAATGTGGAAGTAAAATCATTAAGTCATGGTCACATGATTTTCTACTTAGCAACCATGTCGCTTAGTTTAATGACCGAAGGGGAAGTAAGGTTGTAAGCCCAGTTATGGTCATGTGATTTTCTGCTTAGTGACTGCATCACTTAGTGACCATGTTGCCAGTCCTAACTGTTGTTGGTAAGTGAGGACTACCTATACTATCATAAGCAGCCTATCATTTGCCTTAATAATATGCAATAAATGATACTTGAAAATTGCCTGTACAGTGAAAATGCACAAAGGAAGCCCCAGGGTTGCATTCAGCCCAAGAATGCCAAACTTTTGAAATAACTCTAAACATTACTACCAAATTGTAATTTTTAATCTGATAGAAGGGAAAATTGTTCTATAAATAACAGATATATACAGGTGAAACTCGAAAAATTAGGATATTGTGCAAATGTTCATTTATGTCAGTAAGGCAACTCAAAAGGTGAAACTAATATATGA